TTGATGAAACATGACTCCCAAGTCATAAGTACCTACTTTTGTTATATGTGATGTTGACTTCACTTCCTGTAATCCTGTTGACATCTGTTACAGAAATTTGTATTACAGTAGCTGTTTTCCATTTCTATTTTTGTTGCATACTCACTTATGGTCTTACCCACAAAATTTCAGGGTGGAATTCTAGCAATAAAAGACAGAGAGATCATATGATGTATTAGTGAACTCCAAAAATTTATTATTGATATTGTTGAACTGATTTGGAATAATTTTTGTATGACAATTAAAAAATCATTATCATTTTACTGTAGGCTATCTTGTCAAACCGGGTAATAAGGGACTGGCTGCTGGCGGGGAGTAAATCAGGACATTCGTCCCACACTTCATAGAGATGTTGAAGCAGCTAAACTATTCAAATTTCAAAATATTGCAAAACTAAAAATACTGGTGTAAAGTTCAACACTTTTACTATCTATATAGCTTTATTGTAGTATAAAGCAAGTTGAGAAATCATAAATTTACTACCGCTAAAAAATCCCCAGAAAAAAGTGTGAAAAGTCAGATTTTGGAAAAGTACCTCTGCTAAGGTCTGTAAAAAAATATTTGCCTGAGTTGAAAAAATTCTACTTGCATAAGAGTTGCACATGGCCCACAGGTGTTGGCTGATTCAGGACTGGAAATTTCATACTTGTTTCTGAAATATTGCGGCTCTAATGTGACAAATTTTTAATACAATTAGAATCTTGCGGCCCAATCGTGCACTTTTGTTAACAATTAGATAGGAGGTAATTCATCTGGTGGAAAACTTGCAGTTCTGGAAATTGTGGGAAAGCTCTAGTTGCGACCCTAAAGCTAGATGTTTTCTATGCTTGGGCTGATTGATGGAAAAAGGTGATTGATGGAATTTGCGCATCTCATTTAAAAAAAGGTGGTCGATGGGGTAATAAACCTAAGGGACATCCCCCCTGGCTAAGCCCAGGGTAATAAGGGGCACCCCTAAAAATGCATTTACAGTAGAACCTAGATTAGTAAAGGCTGCAGATAACAAAAAAATTCAATTACCAATAAAAAAGTTTGATTACATTTACCTTGCTCAGTGATACAAATTTCACTTGACAAAAAATTATGGCATCATTGGTCATCACAAAATTGTGCATAGAATGTCATATATAGAATTGTGCACCGGGCAACATAGAATGAGAAGTCAGTACCCTGAACTATGATTCATTTATCCAAAAAATATGATGGTTGTCACTAAAATACTCCTTCCTGTTTCAGGTATATTTTTTACAATTTTTTTCTTGCTGTATTGATATAATTCAATTGACCCAATTAAAATGCTGTGAAATTACAAGCCCAGTCCCGTAAGCTTATGGAGGAAATGCTATATGTCTGCTGATATGATGCTTGCAGTAGACAACAGACAAGATTGTTGTCAATGGCATTTAAGTTTTTTGGGAGGGGTTTTATAAGTATTAGGTATAGAATGGAAAAAAAAATTTTTGTTAATGAAAAATGGATATGGTTATATCATCAATGAAGGAAAAACAAGTATAATTCACAGAAAATGTTATTTATTCTCCATCTACATCAAGGAATTTGGAGTACTGTTAGTAATGGATGAGGACACTCTGCATGCTTCAAACGTTTTAAAATTAAGTTTTATTTCAAGTGTCCAGGATTACCCCGTCTTGCAAAAATGGCTGCCATTTTGTTTAGGATTTAGGTATGCCAATTCCGTCAATCAAGTTTTAAAGCCAACGCCTGTCTGCAAATTTTTTTTAGCAAAATTTTTTACTACATACCATCAACCGGGGCTACTTGGGATGGATTTGAGCATTTTTTGTTAATAACTTCTTACCATGAAAGTGTGTGTGAAATGGCAAAAAAAAAACTATGATAGGCAAAAGTGAAATTTCTTTTGCCTAGCGAGGTAAATGTAATCAATATTCTTTGTTTTTAATCAATTTTTTTCTTAACTGGAGCCTTTGCTTACTGAGGTTCTACTGTAAATGCGTTTTGGGGGTGTCCCGAATAGCCCCGGGGGGTGGCCCGAGTAGCCCCGCCGTGCGGAAATGGCTGCCATTTTTTTTTTTGAATGAGATAGGCAAATTCAGTCAATTACGTTTTCAAGCCAACACCTGGGTGCAACTTTTATGTAAGTAAAATTTTTTAATACGGCGAATATTTTTTTTGCTCCAGACCTTAGCAGAAGTAACTTTTCAAAATAGTGTTTTTCACCATTTTTTTCAGGAATTTTTCAAAGCTAGTAAATGTAGTATTTTTCGACTTCCTTTATACTACAGAGATAGGAAAAATGTTGACGTTTACGCCACTATATTTAGTTTTACAATATTCCAATTAGTTTTGCTACTATAACAGTTTTACGTTGTGTCGGAGGACTATCCCGAGTTACCCCGCCAGTATCGGGTAGCCCCAGTTGACTGTACCTTAGCAGAAGTACTCTTTGAAAATATCATTTTTCACATTTATTTCAGGGGATTTTCAGAGCTTGTAAATGTAAGATTTTTTTTAACTTCCTTTGTGCTATACAGATAGGAAAAATGTTGAAGTTTAGGCTACTATTTTTAGTTTTGTAATATTTCAATTAATTTTGCTGCTATGACATTTTTATGGCACAAGGAAATTTTTTTGTACAAAATGAGCTTTCTGGAGTCAGTTTATGTAGGATAATCTTAATCTGATTAACATGTTGACTCCAATTGCTTCATCTAGTACTATTATTTTATTTTTTACTATTTTTAAACAGGGTTGCCAGACGGTCATTTTTCCGGACCAATTCCGTGATTTAGTTTGTCTCAATTGCGTTGGCCGGCTAAAGTTTATGGTAGGGGTACTTCCTAATTAAATTTTAAATAGTGCAAAAAGAAAATAAATGGAATTTTTATAGCGGAACCTACAAGTAAACTAGTATATATTGAGTTATTGGCCTTCTTTGTTCTTGGATTTGGCCAATTTTAGGCAACCTGAAGTATGTACCACTACCTCCTGGAGAAATACATTTCGTGGTACGCATATGTACCACTTCGGAGTCAACATGTTAAGTAGCATTACAGAGCAGCTGCAGATATTGAAAGATATTTGTGTTCACTAATACAAATGTATACTAATACACATGTATACTAATACACATGTATGTGTTGTGTAGTGTCACTGTAGCACAGTGATAGCAGGGCCAAGATGAGAGGAGGTAGTCGTGGGTAGCCAAAAAATGTTCAATCAGCTATGACCATGACATGTGTGCAGGAATGGAATACATTTTGAAGGAATACATGGATACCATTTATGGAGCTTCAAGGTTACCCCACCAATGAAATACCTTAATCTAATTTTCAACAAAAATGTACAATAAAGCTGCAATGTAGCAGCTTGTCTATTGTTACGTGGGTGTGATGAACTCATCATCAGCTTGTACTTGTCTATTGCAACTACTTAATTTAATGGGGAATTAGAGTTGGTGTTTTCTGAGTTTTATTAAATAGAGTTAAAATAAAGTTACATAGTTTATTACAAGGGATCAGCAGTTTATGAGACTTCCAGGATTGCAAAAAATGAGCACTAGTTAAGAAATTGAGAATTGTGAGGAACATGGACAGGTGATAATGCCTATTACAATGGTGCGGATAAATGCAGCGCGTAGTTCAATTGCTTGCACTTGATGGCTGTATTCTGTAATACTGTAAAAGAATGAAAAATAATGCAATATTAACTTACACAGAGTAAAATTAATGCTCTACCTCTCAATGTTTTACGTTATGTTATATCTATAATAATACCGTCAACCGGGGCTACTCGGGACGGGCGGGGTAACTCGGGACAGTCCTCTGACATGGCGTAAAACTGTTTTAGTAGCAAAACTAATTGGAATATTGCAAAACTAAATATAGTAGCGTAAACGTCAACATTTTTCCTATCTATGCAGTATAACGGAAGTTCAGAAATACTACATTTACTAGCTTTGAAAAATTCCTGAAAAAAATGGTGAAAAATGATATTTGAAGTCACTTCTGCTAAGGTCTGTAGTAAAAAAAATATTTGCTGTATTCAAAAATTTTGCTTAGAAAAATGTGGCAGACAAGTGTCAGCATGAAAACTTTATTTGCGGGATTTACATACCTTAATAAAAAATGGTGGCCATTTCCGCATGGCGGGGCTACTCGGGACATTTGGGACCTCAAATGACCCTGGGGCTATTTGGGACCTCAACAATAACTAAAAGCAGTGCACTTAAAGTGGATAGCTTTGTGATTACCAAAGTCTATGTCAGCAACAGCAGTGACAAACATCAAAAATATTTAGCCACTGTTGATCACTTTGATGAGACTGAGGTGTCTGTCACATTCCTCCATGCAAGTGAATCCAAGACTGTATTTACAGTGGCTCAAGATGACACAGCCTCAGTGGAGATGAAGGACATCTGTGTGATAATTGACGTGCCTTATAAGTTTAATAGTAGAGAGCAGTATGTGTTCAATGCTGCTCTTGTAAGCTAGAGTATAGACCTGTATTTTGCATGTTTCAATTTAAGTTTAACTTATCTAGTAAAAAAATGACATCATTTTGAAAAAAAGTGGTCAAAGTTACCCCATTTTACGGTATGTTGTTGATTGAATTGAAATTTTTTACAAACATTGTAGTGGTGTGGCTAACAGCTGTGAATGTCTTTGTAGTATTAATGAGAGTATTGTAGTACTTAATGAGCTTTATTACCATTTGACTGTGGCAAGTTCAGTTCTGTTTCATTGCCAAAAGATCTTTTCCATAATGGACAGGTTTAATTACAATGTTGTGAGGTTTAATTACAATTTTAATCCTGTTTAGATTCAGTATTGAATCTCTTGTATGGAATGTCTTGTATTGAATATCTTGTGTTGAATGTCTTGTATAGAATGTCATTTATTAATAAATTTGTTCCATTCCATTAAATTGTGATTCTAGTTGACTAACCATAGTTATGATCTTTCTTCAATCCCTCAGATTGTTTGCTAGCAGGAAATCAATTAAAATTTCATATGAATTCTTCTATTCAATTCCAATCCAATTAGATGTAGACTTCCTCCAGAACTTAATTATTCACAATAATCATTTAATAATTGCAATTTGAAGATGGTGTGAAAGAGACTCTAATGTCTATTGTTGAAATGTTTTGAATATTTTAATTTTAAATGACAAGATGGCAAACAAAAGTGACTCAGTGAACACAGAAGTGGCGGCTGGATGTGACGCAGGTGACAACTTGGCATCTACGGATGATGGTGACAAGTTGGGGACTCAGAATAATGATCAGCATTGCTCCGTGGCTGCGGATGATGAAGAACTGCAAAATTGTACCCATGATGGTGACAAAGTTGGTAATGGAGAAGAAGGGGATGAATTAGAGGAAGTGGATGGGGAAGATGAGTATGAGGGAGAAGAAATGGATGAGGATGATAAGGAAGACAATGGGGAAGAAGAAATAGAAAATGATGATGAACTTGAAGAAATGGATGAGGAAATGGACAATAAGCATGGGGAAGAAGAGGAAGATGATGGGGAAGAAGAAATAGAAAATGGTGACGAACTTGAAGGAATGGATGAAGAAATGGACAATAAGCATGGGGAAGGCAAAGATGATGGGGAAGGAGAAATTGCTGAGGCTGCAGTCAAGAATGAGGAAGACATTGGGGAAGCAGAGGAAGATGATGGGGAAGAGGAGGAAGACTTTGAGGAAGAAGGGCAGGCTGATGATATAGCGGGGAACATGTCCGCTGAAGCTGCCACAGTAAGTAATTTGTATTTATATGTGTGCTAGACAGATGTTATTAGACTTATGTATATTATCTTAGAGTTATCTATAACATTAGATAAGGCATATATATTAGATAGACTTATATATTAGATAAACTTATATATAACATTAGACTTATCTATAAAAGTCTCATAAACCATATTTGCATTTATTGGCTAACTAAATCCTCTGGCAGTAGCAGAAATATGTTTATAATGTATGTGAACATTTGCCAACTGTGATCCTAGTTAGTAGCCATTAGGGGTTAGACTTTTGCTGATCCTTTGTTAATGCTTATATATTGGAGGATTAATTTGTTTCATGGTGCTTAATATGAATGATCATACCACAATATTTCTCTTTTTTAGCTGTAATCTTTTTCTATTAGTAATATTGTTTGCTATCTTATTCACATACCGGTACTACTCATAATTACATGCTTCAAATATTTTATCTTATCTCCCAAACATTTCCAGTTCAAAAATTGAAAATTCCAAGATTGTTTTCCAAACATCAATGTTAACATCATTTCCAATCTTGCAATATTTCAAATATTATTTTACCTTATCTCTCTCAAACATTCCTAGTTTGAAAATTGAAAATTTCAAGATAATTTCCAAAATTGTAACATTATTTCCAATCTTGCAGGCTACAGTGTCGTTGCTGAAGCACATTTTATCTCTCAAACATTTATATTGCAGAATTTGAATATTTTAAGATAATTTCCGAGCTTGTTTTCCAAACATCAATGCTAACATCATTTCCAATCTTGCAGGCTACGGTGTCATTGCTGAAGCACATGCAGGATGTCGCCGCAAGACCTGATGACAAGACCAAGACTCCACTTGAGATATTCAAGTGTCCGCTGTGTGACTACAACACCCTGACCATCAAGTACTACCGCCGTCACCTGAGACAGCACACAGCGGACAGCCTCAAATGCCCGTATTGTGCTTATGAAAGTAAGATCAAGTATCACATGGGACGTCACATAAAGTCCCATCTCGGGGCAGGTATGACAACCTGCTCGTACTGTCCCTTCAAGACGACCCGTTCCGATGTGATGCGCAGCCACCTGCTGGTGCATGAGAAGCAGTCCCCGTCAGTGTTCAGTTGCACCAAGTGCAGTTTTACGACCAAGAAGAAGGAGGAGCTACGGTGGCACAGTCGCACACACCTCAAGTTCCAGAAGATCTTTTCGTGTTCAGAGTGTTCGTACTCGACTCTTCGTCGGGGGCACTTCAACCGACACCTCAACAACCACAACAAGAAGGTACTGCAGTGTCCATGTTGTGAGTACAGCACCAACAAGGCTGGAGTTATGTTCAAGCATGTCGAGCATCACAGAAAGCTTGGGCAGAAGATATATTCATGCACTGACTGCCGCTACATGACTCTTAACCTCGGGACGTACGGACGACATCTTGAGACTCACAAGTACAACTGTACTTTGTGCAACTACACTGCTTCACGAGAGGATTATCTTACTAAACACATGCAGATACACGAGAAAGTACACAACAATGAAGCTGAGTACTCGTGTGATGACCACACAGGACAGGGAACCTCGTCCACGCCTGACGAGTTCCAAGCCATGAGTGGCAGCGATGAATGTATGCCAGACGATGTTATTATAAAGCTCAAAGAATTCAAACGCTCAAAATCAACTGAACCTGATGATTATTCTGAACCTTCTTTGGTCCAAGAAGAGAACAGTGACACTAAAGATGAAATCGAAGCTCCAATAGGAAAGAATGCCCCCAGAAAGTCCAAGACAAAATTTAAAATGAAACTCCAGTCAATGTTTCCATTCCTGAACAGAAATGCTGACGCCATCTCCCCAAAATCTGTGACTGAACCCCTAGTTTCCTTGCCCATTTCCATCACGGAAATTAATGCGGAAGAAAAACCCGATCAGGTCTTGGAGGACCGAGATGCGCTGCAAAACATTGTCTGGGTGAGGCTTCATTTATAGCACAGATGCTATAAATATGTACTGAGTTAGCACAACTAATATATAAATGTGATTATTTACTTGAATGTAACATTTGGCTTTGATGCTATTATAAACTAGGTACCTTATGTTGTTGTTGTTGACTACCTTATCACCATTAGGTCACCACCACCATGTCACCATTACCATCACCATCACCATGTCACCATCACCACCATGTCACCACTACCATGTCACCACCACCACCATGTCACCACCACCACCATGTCACCATCACCACCATGTCACCACCACCACCATGTCACCACCACCACCATGTCACCACCACCACCATGTCACCATCACCACCATGTCACCACCACCATGTCATCACCACCATGTCACCACCACCATGTCACCACCATCATGTCACCACCACCACCATGTCACCACCACCATGTCACCACCACCACCATGTCACCACCACCATGTCATCACCACCATGTCACCATCACCACCATGTCACCATCACCACCATGTCACCATCACCACCATGTCACCATCACCACCATGTCACCACCACCATGTCACCACCACCATGTCATCACCACCATGTCATCACCACCATGTCACCATCACCATGTCACCACCACCACCATGTCACCACCACCATGTCACAACCACCACCAAGTCACCACCACCATGTCACCACCACCATGTCACCACCACCATTCACCATGTCACCATCACCACCATGTCACCATCACCACCATGTCACCATCACCACCATGTCACCATCACCACCATGTCACCATCACCACCATGTCATCATCGCCACCATGCCACCATCACCACCATGTCACTATCACCACCACCATGTCACCATCACCACCACCATGTCACCATCACCACCATGTCACTATCACCACCATGTCATCATCACCACCATGTCACCACCACCAACCAGTCCCCACCACCACCCTGTCATCACTATCATGTTACCACCTTCACCACATTTCACCACCACCACCACCACCCAAATATTGAAAGCAAATGAACCAGGTCAATATTTTTTTTCTGTGCGGAAGGGGTAACAGAATTATTCTTCTCTAACCCTGCACTTGGTAGCGTGGCAGGAAACTGCCGTGCTCTGAACAATCAGACATGTTGCTGGAAGTTTTTATTATCGTTCCTCTAATTTCTTTATATTGCCTTTCAGAAAGTCTCCAGGAAATCCAAGTCCTCTTCTGAGTCAAAAACTTGCAGCAAAGCCTCGGTCAGACCTCCTCCTGCAGGGGGTGACCAAAGCAACTCCACCTCCAAGGGTCCGGATGACTCAAATCCTAAGGGCACCCTTGACCACCATCCTAAGCCTGCCCTTGGCCCTCTTGCTAAACCTCCCCTTGGTCCTCTTCCTAAGCCTGCCCTTGGCCCTCTTGCTAAACCTCCCCTTGGTCCTCTTCCTAATGCCCCTCTGACCCCCGAAGAGAACCCTAACCCCGACGAAGGGGCCGACAAGACGACCTACTGCAGCAACGGACGTATTGGTGTGTTCTCGTGCCTCTTGTGCAGCTTCACGACCACCACCCGCAAGTACCTCAACCGACACCTGCGACGTCACAACAAGATCGAGAAGCTCACGTGCCCCACGTGTAACTACGTCTGCGGGGACGCCATCAAAATGAAGAAGCATTTAGAAGGCCATGTAGGCCTACACTCCTGCCTCCTGTGTCCATATGCTACCGTCCACAAGGAGAACCTTGTCCAACATATGGCCGTCCATAACCAACGTAATGTGGTGTCCAGTATTGCAGGAGGTGCTGATGGAAGGGTCAGCCAACCTGATGGACTAGGAGGAGGTTGTTCTAATGGATTAGTATCCATAGGGAATATGGATCGAGTGGGTGGAAACAATGAGACCTCAGTTCCGTACTCGGGAGCTGCGCAAAGAGAAACGTACAACCTTAAAGAAGAAGATGGATATGACAGTGACATCAGTGAGCCTGCTAACGTCACCATCAGTAAAGTGGGTTATGATGAACATCAGAATGATGACTCCAACCCTTCTACTGAAGGTGGGAGCGCTAATGGCCCACAGATCGAAGACAATCCATGCCATGAGGTGGCGCAGGCTAAACAGAACGTTGGGGGCACACAAATTTCAAATGAAGTCCCAGCCTTGGCACCGCTTTTAAGCTCTAACTTCGCCAGCTTATTGCATTTCTTCCTGAATAATAAGAACTTGGTTCCACCTAAAGTTCAGTCGTCAGTGATAAAAGAGGAACCAGTTGACGATGACCAGAAAGATCAACAACAAACACCATCAGAAAAAGAAGAGGAAGAAGTATCATCGGCTGCCGCCACTTCTGGCCTGAACCTTTTAGCCAGTACCGAGGCCAGCCAACTTCCGCTGTACACGCAGCTGTCCGTCCTGGCCAACATGTCACTCATTAACAACAAGAACCTGTCCACAAACTCTTCTGTTGTGTCCTCAAATAACGGTTATCTCCCTCAGGCTCTAATAACCTCATCCTCTGACCCTGCGGTTGTTTCTTCCGCTTTCGCGGACCCTAACGAAGAGGTAGTCTACTCATGTCGGGAGTGTCCGTACACTACCAACCGCAAAGACCATTTAATACGTCACCACAACCAGCATACAGGCAAAGGCATGCAGTATTGTCCTCACTGTCCATACTCAACTGTCCGCAAAGAACACATGAAACGACACGTAAAACTCCACACAGAAGGGGTTCTTGAATGTACCCTGTGTGAATACAAGACTCGTCGCAAGGAACAGTTCAGGTTACACATGCAGAGCCACGAGGTGGGCGACCATCTCAAGTGTCCACACTGCAGCTACATCACGCTACGCAAGGAACACTTGAAGAGACACCTCAACAGACACACGGTGGACAGACCTGCGCAGTGCAGGTATTGCAGATACACCACCGACAGACGTGACCGCATGCAGAAACATGTGGACAACCTACACAGCCACATCGGCGATGTTGATGCTGTGTTCAGGTGAGACGTGCATTGTAATATAGCAACTTATATGATATACTAGTATAGGTTGGCAAAATTTGTATTCACTTTCATAATATACTAGTATAGGTTGGCAAAATTTGTTCCTTTTAGCAGGTTTCATTGAAGACCAGAGAATTCGTACATTGATTCTACTTACGTCGACCAAAATTTCATCACTTGATGCGCCTTCTAACTTGATAATGAATGATTGATAAATTCGAAACGTTGTTAAAGAAATGAAAATGTCCATCAGTATGCTGATTTTTATAATATACCTACACAAGTCTCCCTACAAATCATATCGTTGTGAAGGAGGGCTAGGTATATTGGATAGCTTGGTTGAGTGGCTGGGGGATTAATATATCCAATATTTATCTATTGGCTAGGGAATTAATATTGGATTAATATATCCAATCCCCTATTGGCTAGGGGATTAAAGTGCAATCTTTTTTTTTTTGTGTCGTCTTCGTTAAAATTTGTTTTATACTCCAATCACATGAGATCTGAACATGAAGTATATACCTACTACTTACTACATAAACTAGTTGTTGTAGTTATAGGACTTTTGCAGTTAATTTCGTACCGTCATTCCACCACCCTGGCTGAATACTATGAATTACACGTTAGGGACAATCTAGTTTTTTTCATTAAATTCTAAGTTTTTTTTTAAGTATAATCTAGGTTTTTTAAAAAAATAGTTGCTGGCACTGGTAGTGTGCCTGGTGTTGACAACCTAACTGCTACAGGTAATTGGCACTAGCAAGAGGTTGTGTACAGTATTTGATAGTACAAATAATAACTGTTAACTGGTGATAAATATTGCAGATATCTGGTGCCTCGTCCTGGCCTGCCTGAGGACATGGAGGCCTCACCAGTGGACATGGAGGCCTCACAAGAGGACACGGAGGCCCAGCTGGAGGACATGGAGGCCTCTCAGGAGGACACGGAGGCCCAGTTGGCCTCCACTAACGACCGGCAGGACAGCGGAAGCCCTGAGTCCTCTGGAGGTGATGCCCTATATATTACGACGCTGCAACAATGGCTTGATTTCTATCATTTCTGTTCTTCTTAACTTTATTGTATTGTTCTCGAGTCACACATTCGCTGTACATTATTGAGTCGGTGTGAATACATATAAATGTTATCTGCTTTTAGGTCTTTATGCTTTGAATCAGTGGTTGGAAAGATCTGGAGTGGGGGCAGTGAGCTATGTTGCAACTGCTAACAAATATATTGCTTTACTAAATTGGAATTTATTTGTGACATACACATTTGTCTTTAACCCTTCTTTTTCAAATTGCAGCATACCAAATATCAGGAGAGGTGTTTTTTTCCTTATGGGTCTTTAGGGGAGGGTGCTAGGAAATCACTGGGGGCGCCAGCCAGCCTGCAAAAGTTTTGGAAACACTGGTATAGAATATATGTTTTGATTAGTTATTAATTTTAAATGTGGGTGTTTTTAATGATGAATATCTGTAACATCTCTTAATGTTTGCACAGATGGTGATTCATTACTTATCAATTTTAAATTAATTTACTTATCAAATGAGGATTGTTAATGATGGATGTCTGTAACATTAATTTATTCATTAGTTATTAATTTTATATCTTTTGATTTTTAATGTTGAATATCTATAACAACTCTAATGTTTGCACAGATGGTGAAGACCTGAGCGAGGTCAGGGCTGGTGCTGCTGACGGCGGCGCTGCTGAGGACGAGTGCTTTGCCCTGAACTTCGTGTCCACCTGCATGGAGGAGCCTTCAGAGGTGCCCTGTCGGGGGAATTTATTTTTTGCTTATTAAAACGAAGCGACATGAGTTACTAAGAGCTGAAGGTTATGCAAATTTGGTACTTTTTCAGGTACCCTCAAGCATAGTGACCCTGGTTAATATTGTCTCACATAGCAACATATGGATAAGATTTTTGGGGACGTTTGTCCACGGTGTTGTGTAATGACTATAACATGGTTTTGGCAGGTCATGTGATGGTCCTAGAATAATTATCAGAGGCCTAAGCCCCTTGTAAAACTGACATATAATCTCCCTCTTTTACTTGGGCGTGACTAATAGGATGGTCATTTGCAATGATAATCCCTGCATGCAACCCCTTCAGGTACCTTCATCAGAGACCTCTTTCAGCTACCTTCTTAGATACCTTCAGCTGCCCCCTACCCCTTCAGTTACCCTCTCCTTGTGCCCCCTCTTAGGTACCCGCTTCATGCACTCCCTCCAATTACCCCCTCAGTTACTCCTTCCTAGTATCCCTCGTGGTGAAACTAATGGCATTTTACCCTNCTACCCGCTGTCTGTACCAGACTACCTGCTGTCTGTACCAGACTACCCGCTGTCTGTACCAGACTACCCGCTGTCTGTACCAGACTACCTGCTGTCTGTACCAGACTAGAATGTACCACACGCAGGCAGCATGCGTCAAAATTGACGCTGCGTTAAAAGCCGTCGTGTGTGAATAGCAGTGAAGATAACGTATGACCACTGAGGTACGACATGAAATACTGCTGTGTGTTTTCTGACGTATGCGGCCTTTCACATCCTGTGTGAAAGGGGCTTAAATGGGCAGTAGAACATTGTTATGGGTGAGGGAGGATGTGGAGTATTGTATGTGGAAAAGGGGGTGCTGGGGAGTATTGTGGGTGAGGAGAGAGGGGTGTTTTGGGTGAATAGAAGGTGAGGGGGATGTAGAACATTATTATGGGTGAGTGGGTGGCTGAGGCATAACATTGTAATGGAGGCTGTTTTCCTTCCGGAAAATAGACGTTAGAAATAGAATGATCCGTCAAGCAGATCCAGCCTGCCAGTCTTTGCCATGTTGTTATCCTCTTTGTCATGTTGATGTCCTCTGCCATGTATTTCTTGTTATCCTCTTTGCCATGTATTTCTTGTTATCCTCTAAAATGCATACATCTCGCAGGCAAGATCCAGCAGCTGTTGCACCAAGAGCTCAACCGCAGCCACACAGCGCAGCAGCAGCAGCTGAGGACGACACGGACGACGAGGGGAGCGGCGTGCCCACGTACCCCTCCCTGGAGGTCGCCCAGATGCTGGCCAAGGCCAAGGCGGACAAACTCATTCTGGGGGAACAGCAGAACATTATTATGGGTGAGTGGGGGCTGATGCATAACATTGTAGTAATGGAGGCAGTTTTCCCCTTCATAAAATAGAAATTCTTGATTATAATCCGTCACACAGATCCAGCCTTCCAGTCTTTGCCTTGTTGTTCTTGTTGTTGTCCTCTTTGCCCTGTTATTGTTATCCTCTTTGCCATGTTGTTATCTTCTGTGCCATGTTGTTGTTATCCTCTAAAATGCATACATCTCGCAGGCAAGATCCAGCAGCTGTTGCACCAAGAGCTCAACCGCAGCCACACAGCGCAGCAGCAGCAGCTGCTTGGTCTGCAACAGCTGCTGCAGCAGAACCAGCTGCAGCAGCAGCAGGTGGACACGCAGCTGCAGCAGCTTGAACTGCAGTTCACATCCTCCTCCTCTACTCCCCCTAAACCTCCCCCACAGCTGAAGAAACCTAAAGTCCTCCCCGTGATCCCCAGGACTCTTGAGTGTCCCTATTGCCCTCACGTCACCTACTGGAACGATGCGCTCCTTCGGCATGTCAGGGCACAGCATAGCGGGGCATCTCTTGCCCAGTGTCCTGTACAAAACTGTAGGTTCGTGGGTACCAATAAACAGGTGTTGGAGTCACACCTTCAGGAGTATCATGCCCTTGGTGAGAGAGGACTATCTAGCAAAACGGAGGACCAAAGTGTTCAGGGTGTTGCAGGAATACTGGGCAGCAACCCTGACCGGAAAACTGTGGAAGGCATCGAAGAAAGCGGTGTTGCACGTGCAGATGATATGGATAAGGAGTGTAGTGCGCCATTGAAGACATTCACTGTTAAATCGAAAGCCAAATCTGCACTGGAACACTTTGAAAACTCGTCTATGGCGTACCAAGAAGGGAAAAAGTTTAGCTCGAACGGATCGTTCCAAGGTTTTGGGGCAGCTGCGGGTGTGAACAACAATAAAAATGGACATTTTAAGCAGATGCAACACAACAGTAAACAAATTAACCAAAAGTTGGCCAGTTCCGTGGCTTGTGGGTCTACCAGTACAAGAGTACCTCTGGGTGCCAGTCGCATGTTGTGTAACCACTGCAGCTACGTCACTAGCCGCCCCTACCACATGAAACGTCACATCACGCGTGTACATAAACAAGCTCAAGTACACGAGTACACCAAGATCAGGGGTGGACACCTTATTGCTGGAATACCCAACAATACCTGTGTCAGAAATAAACCTGCTGTCGGTGATGCCAACGCAGTGGTTGACGCTACCATTACTGCAACCAGCAATGGTGCTATGAACAGAGAGGAACCTGTGGCGAAACATGTTTCTGGTAGTGAAGGTGGTTCTGTTGGAACGTCGGATGGTTCTGACAGTTGTGGTGTTAACGATACTGCTGATGATGGCACCAACGCTGCTGGTGTTATAAATGCTTTAATAGAAAAATCTGTAGACACTTGTAATCCCTGTACAACGACTGCCACCAGCAATGATGTACAAAAATTAATTTGTGATGATAATGGAACGAGTATAACAGCAGCCGCCCAAACCGCATCCACTTCGTCCATCATAACTAAACCTAGATCATCTAGAGTGGATGTAGGGGAAGACCAGGTATTGGAAGGCAAGCGCAGTGCTCTAGGAACCGACAATATTTCTGGGGCTGATCCAGTTACTGAAAGTGCACTTAGAAACTCTAGCACAACTACAGCGTCTACGTCTGGTGATGTGACAGCCTCTGCAGGGCACTCAATCGGAGTTAGACAATCAGTAGAGCCGCCGTGTAAAATAGAAACAAAAAGTAATGATGCAGAAAATCCTGCACCTAAAGAAGACAATAAAATTTCTTATAAAAGTAATGACGCGGGCACATCCAGGAAAAGAAGCAGATCTGTTAGTCAAGCCTCAAAAAGTCCTGTACCAAACAGATCCAGAAAAATCTCTGATCACGTGAGTTCTGAGTCCTGTGAAAATTTTGAAATTCCATTCATTGCTGTAAAAGTCGAGGATCCGGAAAATGAAAATGGAATTGTAAAAGAAGAGGAATGTTCCAATTCAATTTCCCATTGCGAGTTTCCATTTTCTTCTTCCTCAAGTCCTATTATCTCAGGTTCTCCGTCCGTCCGTCAGTCGTTACCTTTGCACAAAAAACGCTCAGCGACCAAGAAGTTGGGTTTACAAACGCCACCTTCCAAGAAACCGAGACTCGGCTCTAAAAATCTAAAATCTCCCTCATCGATTTCAATTGAATCCGGACAACATTCAACTGATGTACACTCCCCAAAAGTCCCGCCTAAACATTCGATGATAAAACTTTCTCCCTCTAAAGTCCCCCCTGAAGTGTACGAACGGATGTGTTCTAAGGAGGACCTAAGTCGCATCTTTTCGGTGCTCATCAGCGAGGGCTGCAAGGCCAACATCCCACAGGAGGTCGCCCTTCTGCAGCACAAACTGACCTCTAATAAGAAGGTTCTAGACCTGATAGCCACTGGTAGTGGTGGAGGTGTATCTGGTACCACTAGTTCCAGCAGCACTGGTACCACTTTCCCCACTAGTGGTACTACCGAGGAAGATGGCACTTGTTTGTGGGACAGATGCCCCCTCTGCCCCTACCAGACAACCCTGAGCACTGACATGGACAGACACTTGGCCCGACATCTACAGAAGCAGAAGGATCTTTGTTGCTCTTTTTGTGGGTACCGCACAAGTCGCAGTGACCACATGAGGTCCCATGTGGCCCGACACACCGGTGAAGGCTGCGTACAGTGCCCCGCATGCTCCTACAAGACCGGACGCAAGGACCACATGAAGCGACACATGGCGAGTTGTAAGAACTGCCAGCAACTCGGCATCACCAACGCCCCTACCAAGCCTGAGGTCTCCTAGCGGATCCCAGCGATCTCCCTAGCGTATCCTGTGCACTGCAAAAGCTGCTCTCCCTAGCACATCCTATGCTCCCTAGGGGACAGCTGATAGAGATTCAGACCTTAATTCTCGTCCGGTTCAAGTCTAACTTGTGGGATAAAATACGAGCTCTCCCTAGAGCATCCTATGCACCCCAGGATCTGCTCTCCCTAGCGCATTCTATATCCCTAGGGGACAACTAATAGGGATTTAGATCTTAATTCTTGTCTGGTTCAAGTCTGCATAGTGGGATAAAATATGAGCTCTCCCTAGCATATCCTGGACACTCCTCCTCTTTATCCACACACCCCCTGAGTCTAGGATATATTGTATCCTACTCCTGTACATTTGTCAATAGATGTACAGGACTTGGGAGAACTGTCGCCATGTTAGTATTGTACAGCTGGAAATTTGGAACAATGTAATTAATCCCGTTAATTTAATTATAACTAACTTTATACACATTAATAAATGGTTATACTAATAATTAAAATTAATTAAGCTGCTGTTAGATTTTCACATTACAATGCTTTTGTAATTATAACCTTTCATTAACTGAAGGGCTATTTTCAGAAGGATGCTTCAGACGCTTCTGATCAATGATTATTATTGACGCCATGATGATTATAGAGAGAAATCTGTTGCTATGGCAACAGCGTCTTGTTGCTATGGTAACAGCGTTTTGTTGCTATGGTAACAGCGTCTTGTTGCTATGGCAACATTGCCTTGCCTGACGCCATCTTTGTTGTTAAGACTTGACAGTGCAATTGATAAGGCTATTCTTACGTGGACACTGAGAGGCACCGCTGTTTTGTTTATAATATCGTATCTATTTTTCCATACACTTAATAAGAAGCTGTCCATTATCTTCTACCCATGTCAACAATGTTATCATTAGGCAACATTGCCTTGCCTGGCAACAGCGTATTGTTGCCGGGGTGCCCCCGTCGAAATAAAATGCATTCACTTCATTGTTTTGATTGAGCGCGTCAAAGTGAAGAGGAATTTCCTACTGTGAGGGCAGCGGTAATGAGACGATATTAGATTGGAGGCGTCGTTAATAAATGCAGTTGATGAAACTTCATTAATTAGGCGTCGTTAATGAGGCATGAACAGTAAGGCGTCAGGGGAGTTATGGCTGCCATGGGAACGAGAAACTGTTGGAAGATATGACTTACGATTGCCTGAGCATAGCTTAGGCTGCCGTACGAACCAGCTACTATAACATAATCATGGGTGAATACATTAGTCGTTCCGTAGCATATGAGTTTTAATGAGCTTAAAACCTAATCAAAAACCGGCACGGCTAAAGAGATTCAGATCTCAACTCTCGTCCGGTTTAAGTCTATATGACGGGATAAAATACAGGCGAAAGCAAGACATATTCAAACAACTGGTACAAGATTTAAGAGCTTGAACATACAGG